GACGTGGGCGGCGTGAATAATACCCCCTAAACCTATTATTCAGGAACCCACGAGCGAGAGGAAGCGGAAGACAACACACAAGCACACAAGCAAGTTAGAGGAGGCGGCACTTGCGAGGAGAGACAAGCTGAGCGGCGGCAGAGAGAATAAAACGAAAGACAGAGCTGAGGGGCGGCGTGAAACATAGCAGACCAGCGACGGCGAATTCTTCCTTTCCACCGAATCACCATTATCACCGTCTTCTCCATGGCAGCCCATAGCAAACATTGACTGTAGCATTCCTTATGGCAGTCCGTGGCTGAGGTTATGTGATTCTCTAATTCAACAACAATGGTAGGAGCTTGGATCATCAAAGGGGAGTTTTAGTTGCTTTAATTTCCTACTCAATAATTGTTCAACAATTCCTAGGTCTTAGGATAGTTTTTCTAATTGTTGGGATAATTGTATTGCTTAATCTGATTATATTTAGAGATTATTGTGACTGGATTATTGTTTAGCATTTGACATTGGGCTGTTTATAGCTTTGATTTCAATTATGATGTTGTGGTTATGACATTTATATTGATTTTGGAGTTAATATATTGTGATTTTCTAAGGTGGCTTAGAATTTTGGATCATATTGTCTCTTGCTAGCTTTAATTCTGATATTTTGGATTTAAGAGTTCTAATTAAGCATTGGTTTTTGGCATCCTTAATCCCATTTTACTATTCTGGTTGCAGTTAGTAAGTTGGGATTTTAGGAAAATATTTTGTGGCAACTCGAGGTGGCTCGGTTGTTGGATTAAAAGCTTAATTATAATTCTTAATTCATTGTTTTTAACTCCCACATCTTTTAGAGTGATGATTGCCTACATTGTTGAATTAGAGGATTGATTATCATCAGTGTTATTTGTGCGTCTCATTTTCATTCCTTTCATCTTCAGTTATTTCAATCATCTTTTATATAAAAGAAAATAACAAAAAAAAAAGTATTTTAATTTCAATTTAATTCAAGGCATTTAGTTAGCAATTTTTCAAACTCAAATCAAAAAATCCTTTTTATAGTTTAGGTTACTTGCATTTATTTACTAGGATTTAATTTCGTTTTCGGCTCCTCAAAGTGAATACGACCCGGATTGTGCACTATATTGCATTAATTCGGTTAATTTTTGGAGTAACCCCAAAGCCACAATTAAGGGCAGTTCAACTTCAGGCTTATTAATATGTGATGGTAAGAAAAAATAAATAACACCAAAAAAATTTTCAACAATTCAATTACGCAATCAATTGCCACAAATATGGTGAATTTAAAAGGAAACATTGGAGCACGGAAGGTAACGGTGCAAATTTTGAAGGCTATTAAAGTGTCATATACCCACCAATTGCTTATGTCTCTCAAAAGTTGTTGGTGCTACCTTATACTCCCTCCGTTCCTTATTATAAGAGACGAATAACCGAATTACGTTGATTAAAAAACAGTTAAAATTAGTTAAGAACAATTAATGTGTAAAAAGTATAATTTTTTTTTCAAAAATGCCCTCATTAATAAGGAGAGAGAGCATGAGATAGAACAATAGTAAATTCTTAAAAGAAAGAGAAGTGGGAAGGAGAGAGAATGTGAGTTGGAGACAATAAATATGGGTAAAATAGGAAATCAACACAAAAAAGTAGAGACAACTTTTAAGCGTCTCTTATATTTAGGAACATGCTATAAGCATCAAATGTCTCTTATAATAAGGAACGGAGGGAGTATCTTACTTTGATTTCAAATGACTTTTAAAATGGCATAGACATAGAGGCTCTATTTTCACCTCTCATCTTTTTGCATTAATAGCCTATTTACCCTATTGGTTTATTTTGCTTTAACTGAAATTTTCTCTTTTAAGTAGACGTTATACAGGCATCTTAAAGGACTTTACAAGTGTATAGATTTTTCCCTTAGTTTTACGCAGAAACCGTTAACTTTTGTTATTAGAAATTAAGGAATATATTTGAAGTTTACAATATTCTTGACTAGGGGTCTTGTTTGAATTTTTTCCTTCACAGACTATATCAACATGGTGTTATTATATGGGTAAGAAAGCCCACCCTACTTTGCCCAAAATTATTCAAACTTTCATTGAGTAGAGTCAGGCAACGAGCTGCATTTATTTTCCGGGCTAGGTATCTGACAAAGGTTGTCCTACCTTGCCCAGCTCTAACCCTAGAGAATAGAATATATGTGAGTTATGAGAAAAATGGCTCCTTGTATTGATAAACTAGAAATAGACTAAATAAAAACTCTTATTGTTTTTTTTGGGTATGAAGATAAATTGAAATCGAAAAGGAAAAAATGTTAAAAAGAAGGGAGAATTTAAATTAAAGACCATTGCAGTCAATTTATTTCAAAATGCCCCCATAAAAATATGAAACTTCATTACAGTCTCATGTGTGTAAAATAAAATTAATTTTTGGAGCCAAAAGACATTGTTATCCCTGGAGCTTATTACGTTTGAAGCTTGTAAAAAAGAATTTGACGGATTGCTCACTAAAGCCCCTCTCTGAAAAAATCACTCCATCTTCTAGCTTTTGGGTGTGTTCTATTGGCATTGCTGCTATCATTCTGTTGAGTCCATTGTTGTCGTCATCGTTGCATCCATGCATTCAATCACCATTGCTGTCAACCTCGGATTCCGTTATCGTCACCATGGTTTGCTACTTGCTATTGGGCTTTGACAAGTTTGTTCTAGTGAGCTGTCATTCCCATTATTCTCCATTTTGGTTCAGCTTGGCATTCCCTCATCTATTTATCATGGTATGGGTTCTGGTGCACTTAAACAAACTTTGTTAGATTTTTCTCCTCTTTTCTGAGTTGTGCAAATGAGGTTCTATATGGTTTTGATTCTAGACAATCATTGCATTGCTGTTGTATTTATGTATGAGGTTTTATATGGTTCAACCATTAGTGCTTTATAATATAGGACAAGAAAGAAACTAAATAAATAGTTGATTAGAATTTAAGATGAGTTGCATTATCATTTTTTTTTTTTTTATATTTGCAAACATGTCAACTTTTGCTTTTAAAGGCAAACTAAATCTTATAGGGTCTATTTCTTCCAATATCTTCTAATTGATTCTACCCAATATTCTTCTATAAATGAATTAGTGATAGTGAATGGATTGGTGATATTAAACTAAATTGTCTAGAAAACTTGTTATTTTGTGTTGTGAAAATGCGTATTTGCGTTTTAAATTCGTAAATTTCGATTGTAAATTTATAATTTGTTAAAGTTTTGATACTTGATTGAAATCGACACATTAATGATGTGTAGTAAGGGATGAGATATGGCTAGTAGTCCTGGAAAATGATTATTTTGTATCTTCTATGTGGGAGGGAATTATGTGAAGACCTTATAGGAGAAAATGACATGTGAGGGATTATAAGTTGAACATTGATGGCAAAACTGCTGCTTGTTAAATATTCACAAGTTTGAGAGGGACAATTCACAATTAGAATTAGAAAATTTGCAACATGGATACTTGAATTAACAACAGAAATACATCCATTTGTAAGTAAACTAATTTATTCATATATTTACATTGTTGCCAACTAATTTCAGTGCAGTACTTCGAATAGCTTATCATCAAATACTATCATGAAATATTTCAACCCATCCCAAAAATCCTAAATGGATTGTCATAGCTACTTTCCCTACTAATCCAAAAATACATATTGGGGTTCATATATTTACAAAAGTAGCTATATATTAAACAAAAAAAAAGGACTATTTTTAACAATAAATTCATGCAGGGTTTGAGTTCCTACAAGTCTTTCTAGTGTGACTAGCTTCATCTTATATTGACAACTTCTAGACCACACATCATTTGCTATCATACTCTGCAGTTCTTCATATATAATCTCTTTTCTTATCAATCTTCCACTTATAAGCCCCCTCCACATATTATTTTGCTTTCTAAGGTCTTCACAAATTCGCCTCCCACGTGAAAGATGCAAGATAATTGTTTTCCACTAGTGTTAGCCATATATAATCTGTTGTTGCACATCATTCAAGTATCACTTTCAATCAATTTTAAAAAAATTTAACACTGTATATGTTTATTATAGGAATTTACAAATTTATAATAGAAATATGAGTTTTCACAATACCAAATTACCATTGTCCTATACAACTCAAATTTGCAAATTTACAACATAATTATAGGTTTTGACAACATCAAATTACTATTTTTCTGCATAATTAACTTCTATAGCAGCTGCTTAAGCACAATTTATTCATTTCCTCTTATTCCTACCTTCTCTAAGTTCCTTCAAAAGCGTATGACAGTAAATCTTCATCCATTTTCACCCACTTTTCAAAAAGTACAAACACTGAATGTTTAACAACTTAAAAGAAGAAGATAATAACAATTTCTTTCTAAAATCAAATGTACTATTGGATTTTTTCTCACTCACTGCCTACTTACCCATTCATTTCAATACCTATTTCTACATATTAACTCATCACAATCCATTAGTGCTCACCAACTTAGATGGAAAAAAAAAAACAAAAATTTTGAAAATAAAATTTTACTTCACACACCAAGCACCAATAACTATGAGGACGCAACACTGTAGGGTAGAGTTGGGATGGCAATGGACTTAACAGAATGATTGTAGCAGTGCCGATGGAACACAACCAAAAGCTAGAGGATGGAGTGATGTTTTCAGACAGGAGCTTTAGTGAGCAATCCGTCAAATTCTTTTCTCCAAGTTTCAAACGCAATAAACTTTAAGGGTAATAATGTCTTTTTACTTCAAAAATTAATTTCATTTTATACCTATAAGACTGCCATGAAGTTTCAGATTTTTTTTTAGGATATTTTGAAATAAATTGGCTACGGCAGTTGTCAATTGAAATTCTCCCTAAAAAGAATATTGGGCCGAAGAAGTTCGACCAGTTCTATTGCAAAATGCAAATGGAGGCACAAATTCCCAAACCCATGAAGGCTATGGCTCTCAACGAATCTACGAGGACTCTCTTCCCCCTCGCAAAATTCTTCATTCTCTCTCTCTTCTCTGCACTGTGTCTCTCGCAGCACTTCCTCTTCGCAAACAAGAACCAACCGCAACGAGATGCAGATCTTCGTTAAGACTTTGACTGGAAAGACCATCACTCTTGAGGTTGAGAGCAGTGACACCATCGACAATGTCAAGGCCAAGATTCAGGTTCTCCTTTGCTTTTCCCAGCTCCACTGCCCTTTTTCTTCTGGATAGGGTATTTTTACGATTGCTTTTGAGTGGGATTTTGCTGGAGGTTGAGTGATTTTGGTGATGTTTGATTCCTATTTTGATTCCCCGTTTATACACAAGGCTACCTGATTAATAAGGGTTTTATACTGAATCTGGTTCTTTCCGGGAATGGCATTTAAATGCACAATTCTTGCAAATAAAACCTTTCTATGGAGCGGAAATTATTAGCTTGAATCATTCTTTGGTTTGATTAAAAGCTTGGGCAGTGGGCACTGTGCTGAAGCTCGCCAAATTCATGCCATTGTAGGGTTTTAGAACAACAGTAATCCAGCTTTTGGTTATTTGTTTTTAATATTGGATTCTCTTATATTGTAGGTTATTGTTTGCCACAAATTGTTGCATGGGTGTGTGTAGATTTCATTCCAGAGTGATAGTTTATTCATATTTGTGTTATAGAGGAACTTAAGATGTTCCTTTAATCCCATTCCTGGTCAAGTGAAAATTTAGGTACCATTTGGTGTGAGGAAAATGGAGGGAGGGGGGGGGATTTTAATGAGCTCTGTTTAAAAAACTGGAGAAGTGGGGTTTTGAAATTATAATCAAGACAAGAAGAAATATAAAAGAGTAATAAAAATTAATTAAAAGTTTTTAACCCTACTTTTTTTTTAAAATTTTTTAAATTGAGCTTATAAAAATTTTTCTTCCCTTCCCCTCCTCTCATTTTCTCTCATACCAAATGGACCTGGAAATCACGCACGCGCATACTTGTTTCTTGAAACTTATGTGCATAGTGCTTTTCCTTTGTTACAAGGGGGAGGCAAATTCGGCAGGTAATAGAAATTGACAGATTAATTCTGCCTTGTCCGTGATGTATTTGTGTGTTTTATATGACATCATACAATGCTGATGACTTCACATGAGATTCATAAAACTGTCTTCTATTTTTTAAGTTGCAGGGTTAATTTCTAACTGTGGTGGAACATTTATTTGCAGGACAAGGAAGGTATTCCTCCTGACCAGCAGAGGTTGATTTTTGCTGGCAAGCAGCTGGAAGATGGTCGTACACTAGCTGATTATAACATCCAAAAGGAATCAACGCTTCACTTGGTTTTGAGGCTTAGAGGAGGCACCATGATTAAAGTGAAGACTCTAACTGGAAAAGAAATTGAAATTGACATTGAGCCAACTGATACCATTGACCGAATCAAGGAAAGGGTTGAAGAAAAGGAGGGAATTCCTCCAGTGCAGCAGAGGTTTGCCCTTTCTTCTCCTTAGCATGTTACTTGGACTTGAGCAGTTCACTGAAAATTATTTTACCTGGGGCGATAACTCTTGAATGATAATATTTTACATGAGACTGCAGGCATTTATATGTTTATGATAATCTCTTTCTTTTCATCTCGCACTAAAAGATAATGTGTGAAATATTGGGATATTATTGGTTTATATACAATAAGTTGTCATCTTGTCAATGGCGTGACTTTTGAAAGTGAATTACGTCAGAGCTTTTCTTTGTTTATCCCCCTCTTTTCTTAACAAAACGAATTAATGTAGCATTGGTTTTGTTTGGCTTTGTGAGTCATCTTTTCAATTAAAGATGGGTTGTGCGAAGTTTTCTAATTTAAATTTGTTTGTAATGATTATTCCTTTTCATTAATTTCATCCAGCATTTGGATTAAGAAATTCTAGCAATAACTTCATCATTTGCTTGTTGCTGGTGACGTTTATATAACTCCCATGGATTGTGTGTTCAAATTGTTGCATATGTAGTGTGTGTAATCATGAGCAATTGCGAAATTTAGTTTTCATTATTGCACTAGAAAGATTGGGAATTACACAGCATTTGCTACTTGCTGCAGGCTTATATATGCTGGTAAGCAGCTTGCGGATGACAAGACAGCGAAAGAGTACAACATTGAGGGCGGTTCTGTGCTTCACTTGGTGCTTGCCTTGAGGGGTGGTATCCATTAAGTAGAATGCTCTTCATTTGTGGGAACTCTACTCGTCGAGGCTTTATTATCTGTTGTCGATTGTTAACATCACCTAAAAACGAGAATGGAAGCTCCGACTCAGACTGTCTCTGAAATTCAACGTTTTATAAATTTGCATTGTTCCTAAACTTTATGGCTATCATTGGTGTAGTCCGATTCTAAAATGCTTTCAAACTCCAGTGACCTTGTATCATTAACTTCCGAGCTGTAAACTCATAACCAATAGTTTAGGTACTTAATTTGGTTCAGCGTCCGAGTGACTCTCTCATGGAAGTGCATTGGATGTTTATGTTGGAGACAAAGGTACCTGTCAGACATGGCGAGTGGCGACTCACTGATTGGTAAGGAATTTGGCATCCTGATTGTGAAAAATTCTGTCTCCTTCCCTTTGTTTTTTTTTTTCCCCCTTTGGTTTGCACTCTTCTGTTCTGGGCTCATGTAGCTGCTACGTTATGGGTATTTTGTTATTGTTTTAGCTGCAGAATGTCTCTCTAAATCCTGATCTCAGCTATTATTTGCTGGAAATGGTAATGAGACTAATAAATGGATATTTCACTTGTTCACTAGGCTCTTTTTTCCCCTTTTTGGTCAATTAACGTGGAGCCTTTTCAATTGAATTTATGGTGCATATCAAGTTGGGCCTACCCGACAGCGGTTCAGTGGGCTAAGATGTCCTTATATGCAACCAATCCTTTTGCCAAAAAAAGTGATAATTGTGCTTTGTGAGATTGTAAGAATTTCGTTCCTTCGGGATTGGTTTTGACTTTGACATGTCTTTGAAGCCCAACTTCTGCCAAGAGGCATCACTTCAATAGGCAAATGAGTGGGAAGCCTGTACCAAAAAAAAAAAAAAAAGAGTGCGAAGCCAGCAGAATTAATGTTTGTAGTGTTGAACGTTGACGATTTCGTTAACCATATAGGTGTGGCTAGTTTTGGAGACTTGGAGAGCTAATTTGGGATGAAAGCTGATTATTGGAAATGCGGCTTTACGACGAAACAATGGTTTGGCCTTGGCATGGAAACAATGTAGTCTTTAACATGGTAGAAGATGTTACAAAGTTAAATTATGCCAGATTGGAAAATAAATTATGATAACATTTTTAGAGAAGTAAAGTTTGTGTTGATTGGTTCACGTATGACATGATCATGATATGAAGCGAGAGGTTATGGTTTATGATAGGACTTCGGTGGAGTGAAGAAACGTGTTAGGATTTGGATAATATGTAGCCTTGGATTCTTTTGACTTTTGCTTTCTTTTGTATAAAAAAACAATTCACCTACACTTTTTCTTTTATATCAAAGGAGTTTAAATTACTTCTTGATTCTTAAAGAAATCAAACGAGTTTACTTTTTGTATAACATTAAATTATATATGAATTTGCAAGTTATGCAAATTAGCTTGAAAAACGGTAAAAATGAGATATAAAGTGGATCAAAATATTATATGTATGATCAAATTTAACTCGAGTAGTTTGTATATTTAGTTAAGAAAGAAGTTTAAAAAACTATATCCGTACTCCATGTCCCCATTTCATCCTTATCACTTGAAAAATTCTATCATTTTAATTTTCTTAAGATTGCAGTCTTTCATTGGGATTCATGTCAATCAATTAATCTTGAGACACTTTGACATGTTCTTGAAGCCCCACGCACCCATATCTTAACATATAAAAAAGTTTTAAAGCCATATTAGTTTTTATAATTTGATCAAATCTTGATTTTATTTTTTATAGTTTTAAATCGTTGGTTTTGATTTTTTTAATTTTATAATTTTTTGATATGAGTCTAACAAATAGTCCATATACTTTTAATGAGTTTCGGTTTTAATCTTTATACTCAAAATTAGACTAAGTCGTTATGAAGTTATAGAGATTAAAACCAACGATTCAAAACTACAGGAACTAAAACCAAAATTAAATCAAACTTTAAGGGCCAACAATTTTATTAACTGCATGCAAAAATTTGACATGTTAAATTGAAGCATGGTAATAAAAACGTTGGTGTTGAAATGTAGAATTGAATGGAGTTCGAGTTAACGGAAGACAGTAATGAAAACGTTGAAGTGGTGACATATTGAATGGAAGAGAGACGACAAAGAGTCTGAGGTTTCAAATGCTATCACTCACAAATGTCTTCAAGCCGTCACCATATCCATTTACCAACCTCCCTAAGCCCCACCAATAATACTTGTCTCTTTCCTCTCTTGCTTGCTTTCCCTTCAAGTTACATCTCTCTCTCTCTCTCTCTCTCTTAATTTTTCTTCAACTTTTTCTGAATACAAAGGCTACCACGACAAGTCCTGCTATAGCTAAACACCATGAATATTAGACTTAATTATTAGGGGCATTATATAAAAAAAATGGGGGAAATTCAGAGCCATGTGGTTTTTTTTTTTTGGGTTAAGGGTTATTCCTCTCTCAAAGTATTTACGAAAAAGTTATCAATATTTAAAAGTTTTCTTGCGGTCAATATCGCTTTAAAAGTATTGAAAAAGATGTAATAATACCATTCATTAAAAACCTAATGTTGACTATTAAATATTTTTAATACTCATTTTAACACTTTTGAGAGGTATTATTGTGTCAATTTTTTAAGAGCCTCATAGCTTCTTCGCGATTACTTGCAAAATAAAAATGACCCCCCCTAACCATATACTACCTCCAGTCCTTAATATAAGATTTTATTTGACTTTTACTTTAATCCTAAATACAAGACCCCAATCTGTTTTATTTCTCATATTTAATCATTTTTTTTCAAGGTAGTCCTTCTAATAATGGTAGTTCTAACCAATACACTTGATTAGTAAGGATATTTTAGAAAATACAACACCTATTTATAACAAATAACTAACTTTAACTTATTTTCTTAATACACTCAAATTAGTTAACTAGCTCTTATATTTAGTACAGGAGGTAATATAAGACTATTGGCCATAACCCTGTAATCGATTTTGATTTTATGCTCATGGTGAGCTAATCAATTAGTGTTCTTAGTTTTTTTTGTTGTAAAATTAATTAATCATGCTTGGAGGATACATTGTATTTGATGCCTCCCTCCCTCCACACAAAAAATATTGTTTGAAAAAAATCACAATTTTGAAAAAAACACAATCTTAAAATATTCGGATTAAAAGATAATGCATTTCATGAGTTGGCTCGGAATAGTTTGATTTATTTGCACCTTAAACAGCAGATCTAATTCCAATTATTGAGCAAAACCACATGTTTGTCTGTTAAGAGGCAATAATAATCATAATCATAATTTTTTAATTAACCAATTGGAGCATAGACACCAAATATCGAGCTTAAACACGAAATGTTCATGAAATAAGCACATATGATATAAATGTCCTGTCTGTTAACGATAGGTACACGTTTAGTTTTCCATATTTAATATTTAATTCACAACCCTTATCTTAAGATTCAGATTATCTGAACTCTACAGTTGTGTGAAGTCTTTTTCACATGAGGAAAAGGAAAAAGTAAATAGGGGAAAAATAGATTCCAATCGGTCTAAATCGATTAAAATGGAATTAAACAAAACAGCCAAAATTGCTTTTTTTTTTTTTTTTAAATGATTGAATTGGCTGTCGGTTTGACTTGTAAAAGAGGAGTGGATTCCTTGTTGCGTAATGATTGAAGGATGTACTAAGCCTATTGGACCAACAACGGCTCTGCCTTTTTTTTAATTTAAATAATATGTTTTCTGTAAATAAATTTTGAAAAAATTGTGAAAAATCTCTCATGATAAAATCTATAACACCAAAGGTAGCTAAGAAGTGAGTAATTCATCTTCAATAGATATGACCCTTTTTGAATGTATATATTATTTTCAACTATTATGTAAATATTTTTTATTTTGCACATAACGGAAAATAGATTGCATAGAGTGAGGAAGAGTTATACGTGAACTCTTAAATAAATTTTAGATACCCTTAGATAATAAATTTTAAAATGGGTAGCTTTTCGACAAAAATTTTCCTAAATTTTATTGCCAATTAATCTGTTATCACTTTGAGCAACATAAAACTATAACTAAATAATTTCGAAATAAACATTTAAAAAATGAAATATGAAAAATTCAAATGCATTGAATTGAACAAACTAGATTAAAGGAGATGAAACATACGAACATTCCTACTTTCGTATGTCTGCCATATGAGCTTGAAAACTAATTTGTGGATATTAAAAAATTAATTAGTTTAATTATATCTAATTATGTGATGTTACTAAATTAATTGTAGCAATATTTTTGTCGTTTAACATTTTTTTGACGTGGCAAAGAATTGTGTCCTTAGAGTAGGGAACTCTCTCTCTCTCTCTCTCTCTCTCTCTCTGTGTCAGAGTCACACACACAACAAAATGTATCTTGTCAAACATAAACTCTCACCAACAAAATCCAAGATGGCATTTTGTGTATGTAATGTATGAAATAATGTAGACTTTTGGGGATGAGGTTGCGTTCACAACTACCAAACTGCCCGCTCATCTACGTCACTCCTACGCAATTTCATGTGTCATTCTTTCAATAATGCTCTCATTATTATTACCCTTGCTTTCTAAAATGCTCTACGTTCGTTCATGAATTATTTGAAGAGGTATATAGTGCGAAAGTTATATAAAATATATATGATCTTATACTCCAATAGTTTCAAACATAAGTTATTTCTATCCCAATATAAAAGAAAGGATTTGAAAACAACAAAATCCTAAACTATTGGAAACAAGGATAATTTTTTTTTTGACAAAAAGTTGATTAATATACCATATTTTTATGCATAATTTTTCAACCAATACTAATAAAACAATCACCTAAAAAATAGATGATGATACAGAATAATGGAATATCCTATTTATATAACATATACACATTTTTCATTGACGTAAGGCTTAGAGTCTTGTAAGAGAGTAGTTCCTATCTATATGGTGACCGCTTCCATAATAGTTTATAACAAGAAAGTGTGAATGTTACCAATTCGAGCGAATTGAGATTCGAATCCTCATTAAAAGAAATTATCATATTTGATACCTAAGATTGTTCTGAACCAAACCTAAATTAAATTTTTTTTTTCCTAATACGAGTTGTCTTCAAATGGTATGATATTATATTTACCAGAACTCAAATCC